ACCCTGAGAGTTATGTAGGTTTTGAGGCGGTTCATATGACTGTACCCTGAGAGTTATATAGGTTTTGAGACGTTCATGTGACTGTACCCTGAGAGTTATGTAGGTTTTGAGACGGTTCATGTGACTGTACCCTGAGAGTTATGTAGGTTTTGAGACGGTTCATATGACTGTACCCTGAGAGTTATATAGGTTTTGAGACGGTTCATGTGACTGTACCCTGAGTTATGAAGGTTTTGAGACGGTTCCTTTGACTGTACCCTGAGAGTTATATAGGTTTTGAGACGGTTCATATGGCTGTACCCTGAGAGTTATATAGGTTTTGAGACGGTTCATATGACTGTACCCTGAGAGTTATATAGGTTTTGAGACGGTTCCTTTGACTGTACCCTGAGAGTTATGAAGGTTTTGAGACGGTTCCTTTGACTGTACCCTGAGAGTTATATAGGTTTTGAGACGGTTCCTTTGACTGTACCCTGAGAGTTATATAGGTTTTGAGACGGTTCATATGACTGTACCCTGAGAGTTATATAGGTTTTGAGACGGTTCATATGGCTGTACCCTGAGAGTTATGTAGGTTTTGAGACGGTTCATTGACTGTACCCTGAGAGTTATATAGGTTTTGAGACGGTTCATGTGACTGTACCCTGAGAGTTATATAGGTTTTGAGACGGTTCATTGACTGTACCCTGAGAGTTATATAGGTTTTGAGACGGTTCATATGCTGTACCCTGAGAGTTATATAGGTTTTGAGACGGTTCATATGACTGTACCCTGAGAGTTATGTAGGTTTTGAGACGGTTCCTTTGACTGTACCCTGAGAGTTATATAGGTTTTGAGACGGTTCTTTGACTGTACCCTGAGAGTTATATAGGTTTTGAGACGGTTCATATGACTGTACCCTGAGAGTTATATAGGTTTTGAGACGGTTCCTTTGACTGTACCCTGAGAGTTATATAGGTTTTGAGACGGTTCATATGACTGTACCCTGAGAGTTATATAGGTTTTGAGACGGTTCATATGGACTGTACCCTGAGAGTTATGAAGGTTTTGAGACGGTTCATTGACTGTACCCTGAGAGTTATATAGGTTTTGAGACGGTTCATGTGACTGTACCCTGAGAGTTATGAAGGTTTTGAGACGGTTCCTTTGACTGTACCCTGAGAGTTATATAGGTTTTGAGACGGTTCATATGGCTGTACCCTGAGAGTTATATAGGTTTTGAGACGGTTCATATGGCTGTACCCTGAGAGTTATATAGGTTTTGAGACGGTTCATATGACTGTACCCTGAGAGTTATATAGGTTTTGAGACGGTTCATATGACTGTACCCTGAGAGTTATGTAGGTTTTGAGACGGTTCATTTGACTGTACCCTGAGAGTTATATAGGTTTTGAGACGGTTCATGTGACTGTACCCTGAGAGTTATATAGGTTTTGAGACGGTTCATTTGACTGTACCCTGAGAGTTATATAGGTTTTGAGACGGTTCATATGACTGTACCCTGAGAGTTATATAGGTTTTGAGACGGTTCATATGACTGTACCCTGAGAGTTATATAGGTTTTGAGACGGTTCATATGACTGTACCCTGAGAGTTATATAGGTTTTGAGACGGTTCATTTGACTGTACCCTGAGAGTTATATAGGTTTTGAGACGGTTCATGTGACTGTACCCTGAGAGTTATGTAGGTTTTGAGGCGGTTCATATGACTGTACCCTGAGAGTTATGTAGGTTTTGAGATGGTTCCTTTGACTGTACCCTGAGAGTTATATAGGTTTTGAGACGGTTCACATGGCTGTACCCTGAGAGTTATATAGGTTTTGAGACGGTTCACATGGCTGTACCCTGAGAGTTATGTAGGTTTTGAGGCGGTTCATATGACTGTACCCTGAGTTATATTCGTTTTGAGACGGTTCATATGACTGTACCCTGAGTTATATAGGTTTTGAGACGGTTCACATGGCTGTACCCTGAGAGTTATATAGGTTTTGAGACGGTTCATATGACTGTACCCTGAGAGTTATATAGGTTTTGAGACGGTTCATATGACTGTACCCTGAGAGTTATATTCGTTTTGAGACGGTTCATATGGCTGAACCCTGAGTTATATAGGTTTTGAGACGGTTCACATGACTGTACCCTGAGAGTTATATAGGTTTTGAGACGGTTCATGTGACTGTACCCTGAGAGTTATGTAGGTTTTGAGACGGTTCATGTGACTGTACCCTGAGAGTTATGTAGGTTTGAGACGGTTCATATGACTGTACCCTGAGAGTTATGTAGGTTTTGAGACGGTTCATATGTGACTGTACCCTGAGAGTTATGTAGGTTTTGAGACGGTTCATGTGACTTGTACCCTGAGAGTTATAGGTTTGAGACGGTTCATATGACTGTACCCTGAGAGTTATGTAGGTTTTGAGACGGTTCCTTTGAGTGTACCTGAGAGTTATGTAGGTTGTGAGACGGTTCATATGACTGTACCCTGAGAGTTATATAGGTTTTGAGACGGTTCATATGACTGTACCCTGAGAGTTATAGGTTTTGAGACGGTTCATGTGACTGTACCCTGAGAGTTATGTAGGTTTTGAGACGGTTCATGTGACTGTACCCTGAGAGTTATATGGTTTGAGACGGTTCATGACTGTACCCTGAGAGTTATGTAGGTTTTGAGACGGTTCATATGACTGTACCCTGAGAGTTATGTAGGTTTTGAGACGGTTCATTGACTGTACCCCTGAGAGTTATGTAGGTTTTGAGAGCGGTTCATGTGACTGTACCCTGAGAGTTATATAGGTTTTGAGACGTTTTATGTGACTGTACCCTGAGTTATTAGGTTTTGAGACGGTTCATGTGA